CCCAAAACCCCAAAACCCCAAAACCCCAAAACCCCAAAACCCCAAAACCCCTTGTGACTAATTTTGAAATAGTAAAAGAGAATGGCCGATTAGTATTAGAACATATAAGCATTTAAATATATATTCGATCTAATTATAAAAATGAAAGCAAAAGGTCTTTTTATGAAAAAACCACTACTTTCCACATTATTATTGACTCAATTGATAGCAGCGATATATCTGCCAAATGTTTTGTCAAAGTCAAATGATGCTATTTCTGAACTTAGAGAGCCAGCCTCTTCGGGAGAGTTTAATACATATGAAACTAAACAATTAAATGATGGGGACAGATCAGACACTCAAGAATTACCAACAGCATAGCACTCACAAGTATTTAATTTTCAGATTTATTAACAATTCATAGTTAAACTTATAATCACCAAGAGTTGAAGCAGTCAGCATTTGGAAAGATTCACCTTTCACTTCAACCTAATACTATCAATATGCTTAAGCTATTCAAACTGGTTTGGCTTTGAAATATACATCCTCGGCTGTTTGCTTCTAAAATACTTACAGTTTATTGAATGACTTATTCTATCTCCACCAGAATATCACAGGCTATACTATAAGTTCTGTAGCATATTCAAATGGAGTTAGATAAGTATCCATGGTATCCTTCAATGTATCAAATATCATTTCGCGTAATTTTGCCAATACTTTTTCCAACTGTTATACGATGACAGCCAACTTTTAATCCTAGACAGCAGTATGGCTTGATTCATTTGTTGATTTCTCTGATGTGTATACATCATTCTTGTTCAATTTGCTTTCCTAATCCCTTAAAATCAGAAGTTTATCAACTAACATTCAAACCTCACAAACTAGCAAAGATTGGGTTACATTCAGTAAATCTATAGCGTAGCTTTTTAGTATCATTTTTGACTTTGAATCATCAAATGCCGCAAACCTAGATGGATTGAAATTTGAAGATATTTATAATACTATGATGTTTGCTAGCAAGGAGAGTAACGTTGAATTAAGCTAAAAGGAGGTTTAATCTATGAAAAAGATGATTGTCTATTCTGCTGGAATATTATAAACTCTTTTCCCAAGTATGAAATAGCCTTTGAAGGAAAATGAAAACTATCAAAAGATTATTCAATTTGCCAACGAAGCTGATTAATTTCTCTAAGAGCAATCATTAAATGCTTAGAAATTCATGGATGGATATGAAGAGAGAATGTAAGAAAACAACTAAAAGAGAGTTGCGTAAAAGGGAAGAAGCTTGTTGTAAGTACTTGCAAACCCAGATATGACCTTCCATTTAGCTGATGTTCTATATATCGGCTTTGGTGTCGTAGAAGGTGCGATGAGCGCAGTTCCAACATCTGTTTTCAATTACTAATGTGGTAAAAATGTGACCTAATCTAGACTATATTTTGCAGCTGCAGTTTAAGATTTTTCATAACAAAAAACAGACAGTGCTGTTGCTAATATGTACAAGATCTTATAAAGCGTTGACGACATTACAATCAACTGTGTCTTAGGAGTTCAAACATCTGCAAATACTGATGTGACAAAATTATTCACATCTGATGGAGTGCTGACAAACATTCTCTATAATGCTGGATTCATGTTTACAGACGTGCTAGACATCATTAGATATGATGATAGCGACACAAATCCATATTGGTATTATGTTTTCTACAGAGTTGGAGATTTCCTTATAAGATTTGTTTATAGAGATACTACTCTAACATGAGAAAAATTCATAAACTTTGATGATTAGAATATAATCTATATTTCTATTTTATGATAAAACTCTTTCAAATTTACATTATCTCGTTTTCTGATTACCAAACATATAGATAAATTTTAACTTGATGGGGTTTTGGGGTTTTGGGGTTTTGGGG